CACAAATTAGTCAACAAGACTAATCATCACACTGGATTTACAAATCTCACTGTAAATACAAACACATCCTTAGAACAAATCTTTCCAGCTTCAGCACTTGTCTACCTTCAATAACCAATTTGTTCATAAGCAATTTTGAAAGCATTGGCATCAAAAGCACAAATGCGTAATCATAAGGACAAATGGTAAGACAATTATACTCAAGAAAAAAGGTAGCCTGGAGCTGGCAAATTTAGGCATCTACGATTTGATATTGATCACAATATTATATAACATGCAGCTTAAGCTAATAATAAGTAATCAATGCCTTTCTACCTAAAAAGATATATTTCGGTTGTAACATGACTACAATATGCCTCATAGTTTACATACACTTAAAAATTAAGGTTAATGAGAGGTGACCAAAAAATTACAGACTAGCATCCACCTTGATTTGGAGATGGTGTGCTGCAATATTTATGACAAAATACATGAGAAAAGAGAGACCAAAACAATCAGAACTAATCATGCTAATTACCTCCTCAACTAAAATTACTTGAATTGTGACCACCAACCCCCAGTCACCTTATACACTAAAAACAAGAACCAGCTTACATGGCAACGAGAACTCAATTTTAGCTTATATCAGCGCTTAAGTTGGCATCAGTAACAAAATAGAAGTAGATTTCTTCATCATCCATTAGCTTCATACAATCCAGCAACTCGTCTCCTTAAAGAATAAATACATACCGCAAAGCAAAATGCTAAATATTTAGCCTTAGTTTCCCTCAAATGATTGCTAACGAACATCACATCTCCGACTCTGTTTCCCAATTTTCTTGCCAAAGAAAAGGTTGATCATATCAATATCATCTTGATTAAACCCACTGCAACCCAATGTTGGGATAATGCTTTTTTATTTTACATCACCCATAAATCCCTCGACCTTTAAGTTAGAAACTACTGTCAAACCCTGCAATTTTTGTAATTAGAGAACTTGTGGGAGACCATATTCTAAGTATGTGGCCCAAAAGGGAGTTAAAACCTGGCCTCTTGATCAAAACCAAAAATTTTAACTGCTCAAACCAAACCTTGAGATTAATTTTAGGATAATTCTGACTCAGAAAGTTTCAGCTTAGGAACTCACCAAACCTAGCTCCACTAAGTTTACCTTAGGCTTGTTCAATTGATTAACAACTCAAGCTCAAGACTGGATTAAAAATGTACTTAGTATTTGCACGTGATCAAGGCATGGCTTTGCAACCTAACTGCAAAGCAGCACAACAAATACAAGTGGAAGCACTCTACAGATGCAGAATCCAGAACACAAAAACAAAACAGCAATGCCAGCATCAAAATTTCATAAACGATTCATTAAAAAAAAAAAAAAAATCCAACTATTGTACTTCAAAAAAAATCAATTATATAAGAGAGCTACCAAACTACAATTATCATGCCTGGCTCCTAAACATAAGAAGGCTGTAAACTAAAAGCTGACATCAAAATTCAATATGCATTAAACAGAAGTATTTATTACACATATTACCCAAATAATTTGTACGAGTGTCATAAAATGTAGTAAATTTTCCTATCACCCAAAATATTAAATTACTTATACATTATCCAATACAGCTTTACTAACCCCCATTCCCATGCTGTCATGGGATGATGTCATTTAAGAAAGAAGACAAAGATGATGAAGGAGAGGGAAGCTGCAAATATTCATACACATTAATTTAACTATTCTAGTGCCATGACAGTTACTACATTTTCTTGGCCAAATAGGAAAACATATTTAGCAGATATAAATGATATACTTTAGACATTTAAGTAGATAATTTTTTTATCAAAAGAAAACAATACCTGCATCTGCACAAGAAGTTCAGTTTTGATACGTCTAGAAGCTTCACTCTCATTTCCTTCTCCACGTGTTCCACATAATGAATCTATCTCATCAATGAAGATAATAGAAGGAGCACTTTCACGAGCCATCTGGAAGAGGCTTGAAACAAGCTTTTCACTTTCACCCATCCACTTTGAAACCAAGTCTGAAGAAGAAACACTATCCACCAAGAAAAAAGAATATATTAATCACCAGCAATAAGCACATGCCATTTATTGACCTACATCCATAAACATAGAAAATCTCAGCAGAAATTCATATAGTGGAGATGCAGAGAACCGGTGTGAAAACATATATAATTTGATTTTGAGTTTGACAGAAAAGTTAACGATAAAAATCATCGTATGCAAGTGTAGCAACAATATTATAATCATAACCAATTATGAGGCCTTGTTGACTCCGGCCATCAGGGATGAAAAGGTCATCATTTAAGTTTGGAATACTTATATTTTCATGCCCTCATATCTTGGTAAAGTGGTCAGCCAAAAGGATACACAACTCGGGATGTGATAAAAAAATATTCAAAAAACTTAAACTTATGGTACAAATACCCAAGATCCCTGCATCTTCGTAACATGACCAATGCATAAATTGCCATATGCTCTAGCCTTTAATTTTTTTCTATACATGTATAATAGCAGCACAACAATCTTGCATTTTGTTAGCTGATGAATGTCACCTGAAAAATGTAGAATCAGCTTCAGTAGCAACAGCCTTGGCTAGATATGACTTCCCAGTTCCAGGTGGCCCATACAATAGAAAAGCCCTCCATGGTCGTCTCTTGCCTGAAATAAAACAAGCATGAAAAGCTTAGAATTTAAACAAAATGAATGAAAGAACAAACCCACAACTAGAATGTGCTATATAATAAAGAACAGAACTGTTTAAAAAAAGAAAGAAAGAAATATATCATAAGATACACAATTCACTAATCTAATTTGCCCTCCCTGCTTTATCAAACAGCAGAAACAATTGTGACTGTTGCATAGCCAAAATGGCAGATACAGAAAAAACCTCAACATTCACCACAGCCTTTCCACAACAGTCAATGCAGAATCTCATTAAAAAAGAACGCTGAAACTCCTACTCCTTTACAAGTCCAGCACTGCATAGTCTATCTGATGTTAACTGCAACAAGAGCAGAAGTGCCAAAACCAAAATTTACCTCTTAAAATCCACCAACAATCAGAAAACTCAGCATAATTAGCCACTATCCTCCCTATGTTCAATTCTACCAACATGATCCCTAACGTAAGTGCCAACCAGAAACAAAAACAGCAAATTTCCCTCTTCATAAAATCTAATCTAACTTTGAACCAGTTTGTAACACAAATCAATTATTCAATCGCCTTAACAACAAATATAAAAGCATGATTAGAACAAACAACTCAAAAGAATTCAATTCAATCTCACAAATCCCAAAAATTCGATCGCAATCAACTCAATAACAACCAAATAAACAATCCCACAACAAAATAAAAACAAACCCACCCGTAAAAAACTGAGGGAATTTAACAGGCAAAATCACAGCCTCCTGTAACGCCTGCTTGGCGCTCTCGAGACCCGCCACGTCATTCCACTTGATGTTGGGCTTCTCTCTAATAATCGCCGAATTCAAGCCGGCACGCAGCTTGGCCTGTTCGGGATCCTCCCCATCGCCACCTTCGCCACCACCATCCTTGGGCTTCGTCTTGGGGCGGGTGGCCACAGCAGCGTCGCCGTTATGGGCCGGACCGGGCCCACCATCGTCCAAAACGGCACGGATCTCCTCGGCACGACGGAGATATTCGGTAAACTTCTGGGTAATAGCTTCTTTAATCTTGGGATTCTTCTCGTACTTCAAATGGGTCTTGAAGTACTCCAAAGCGTTCATGTAAAGAGGGAAGGCTTTAGCGTAATTTCCGGCATTGTCTTCCAGCACGGCTTGTTTGACGTACTCGATTGCTTGTTCTTTGAAGTTGCTGTACATATTTTTAGGGCTTTGGATCGAATCGCATGAGAGATAGATAGATTGATGAAATTGATGTTGAAAAAAAGAAAAAAGAAAAAAAAAAAGAGCGAAATAGATAATTTCTGATTCGTTTGATTAAATGTCAAAGTGAAAAAGCGTGTTGTGAGATGGGATTTAACTAAAAGAAATGGTGTGGTTTCTGGGAAGGGACGGGCCAAAATCCAAAGGCTTAAGCTTTCAAGCGTACCAATTCCGCCCTTTCCGTTTAATGGACTACAAACGCTAGATTACTTCTTGTATATTTTTCTACTTCCTTTTTTTTGTTAACTTTTTAAATAATTTAATTTTTCTCCCTTTGTGAATTAATGTTTTTGAATTTATTTTTCTGACAACTTTTGCAAGTTTTATTAAAAGCACCTTCAAAATTTAAAAATTGTATCATTAATAATTTTTTATTAGATGAGTAAAATGATCAATTTGATCATATAAGGAAGTGTTTTGTAAACTTAATAGCAATATAATTGAGTTAGGGCAAAGATACCAAAATAAAAATTTTAAATATTTGTCGTGTTATCATTAGAGTTAGATGGGTAAAATAATAACCTTCTGAAAATGACAATTTTGTTCATATAAAAAATGTTTGTAAATTTAATAAAAATAGGGAAAAAAGATGTCAGTGATTAAATTTTGAAGGCCCATTTGATAAGATAAAGGTATTAATTATACAATTTTTAATTTTTGAGAATCCATTTAAAAATAACAAAAAATGTTGTCTTAAAACTAAAGTCAGAAACCTTAACTGTATTTTATGCTATTCTCCTTTTCAAATTAAAGCATTTTATTTGATAGATAAATGAATTGTTTTATTTATTTCAATCCTCGTGATTTCTTTTACCCCATATGTTTTAATTGTTGAATAAACTATATTAATTTATTATATCATAAATAATATTTGTGAAAGGGTTACTGTGTGTTTAATCTTTTGAATAAAGAAAACAAAAATTCCAAAATTTTGACTTAAATTAACAATTTAAATTTTTGAATAAATAAATAATATTTACAGCCTTGACCTAATTTTCAGTCTTTAAACCGTTAGATTAAATAAACAAATGAATGGTTAGAAATTTAGGTAATAAAAATCAAACAATAAAGATGTCACAATCAAGTTATAGGTTAACGATTGAAAATTGGTAAAATTCAGAGTAGGTGGAGAGTGTTGGCGGCGGATTTGATATTTTGAAGAATGGGAAAGAAAGAGAAGAAACAGAAGCACCAACAAAAAGCTTCAGCTTCACGAAGAGGTGACTTTTCATACAACGCTCAAGACCATGAAGAAGGTTATGAAGCTGACTATAGCTACCCTTCAAGTTTACCCTCCTCTTCTGATCAAGAACTGCCTCAAATTTTTGATAATGATGATGATGATGGTCTACAAGAACAAGATGATCAAAATGACCCTCACCCATCAACAAACATGCCCTCTAAGTTTCTTCTCTACCAGCAATCCGTACAGGTATCAATATGAACCAACTTTTCATCTTAGGATATATACAAGTGAATTTGAATTAACAGAATTGGATTGTTTTATGCAGTAAAAGTTTAATGGGATTTTGTGAATTGTGTTTTGAATGCAGTCACCAAAAGGGGACATAAGTTATTTGCAGAAGTTCTTTTTGATGTATGTCGGTGGGAGGCAGCCACTTCATCTTCAAGAAGATTTTTGTGGCACTGCTTTACTTAGGTACTTGCTTTCATTTTAGGACTTCCTTCTTTTTTTTTTTTTTTTTCTTTTTTTTTTTTTTTGGGAGTTTGTGATATGAATTTGTAGAACAAATGAATGTGTTGGATGGGTTTGTAGTATAGACTGCTTTCATTTGATGAAATGTTTGATCTTTGTAATTTTTAGGTTGATTTGAGACTTTATGCAGGGTTAAACACCCCCGCTTGGTATAACACCTAAAACACTGATATCATTAGCAAAATAAAATGAAATTCACCTTCTCTGAAATTATATTAATTAATGCAGATAGGCAGAACTACATGTTTCTCAAAGATTTTAACTGGTCATCAATTGTATTAGAATCTATGAAGAGATTGTCATCTCGGCAAAGAAAGTTACGTTTTATGAGCCATGATCTTTTTTAATAAAAGCCATGGTGAGTGAATTTGCAGTCTTTTTGCAATTTCAAGAGTTTTTTGAATGTATGTACAAACTGTCATGCACTTACTCTCTCACTGTTCTAACTTCTTAACAATGTAAGGTAGTTTATGGGTTTCAGTGTAATTTTCAGGATGTGGCTAATCAACAAGACATTTCTTTTCTATTAGAATCTTAAATGGTTTATTGCAAATACACAGTCCTGATGCTTCTCAACTGCCAACATATGTTCCTAAATACATAACATGACTGTTATGCTATTTGTTTGACAGTACAGAATGGCTCCGGAGTGACTCAAGACGGACCGCTGTGGGTTTGGATTTGGACCTGGAGGCACTAGAATGGTGCATGGAGAATAATGTTAACAAAGTTGGCGCTGATTGTTATTCCAGAATATCCCTTTTTCATGGGAATGTTTTGCAACCTCTTGAGGCCAAACTAGTGAGATGTGACCCTCAAGAGTTGGTAAGGAACATTACATTAAAGGAGAATGACAATAGTTCTGAGGCTTCCACTTTGGATTCTGCGAGGCAAGATGGCTCTACTGCTTCTAGTGATAACAACTGCTCAATGAGGACTTATCCACTGCAGGCAAGAGACATTGTGTGTGCTTTCAATTACAGCTGTTGTTGTCTCCACAAACGTGCAGATTTGGTTTTGTATTTCAAGCATGCTCTTGGTGCCCTGTCTAAAAAAGGTGGTATATTTGTGATGGATTTATATGGTGGCACATCATCAGAGCAGAAGTTAAGACTCCAGAGGAGATTTGCCAATTTTACGGTATAATCTATCCCACTCCAAAAATTCTTGACTATCATAACATTAGTTTGAACACTCCAAATACAAAATTTAACATGATGGGTCAATGTCCTTTTTAACAGAAATGTAAAATGTCTGACATGAATTGTTATCAGCACAAGGTTTGCAGCGGAACTTATATAAGATACACACAGTGCTCCACAATATTTGACCTTAATTTAATTATTTGAGTGTTATTAATTCTGAACCAGGATTGTCAAACATTTGAAAACGCTTAGAATTTTTTCATTAGAAGTCATATATGTTGTCAACATCAAAGCATTTAAGAAGTATCAAGGCAAGGGATATCTAATTTTTTTCACCTCTCTTGATTATTGAACTTTTCCAGTCTAATTGTAAATTGATATCTGTTTGACATGGGAAGCTTTTTGTATCAAATTCCATTTTGCTTATTATGTGTTCACAGTATGTTTGGGAGCAAGCTGAGTTTGACATTGTTGAGCGAAAAACAAGAATTAGCCTCCACTTTCATCTTCAAAAGCAGCAGAAAAAACTTCGACATGCATTTTCATACAGCTGGAGGCTGTAAGTATTCAATGCATTCTACATAATTGCACATGAGCTCAGGGCTTTCCCCTTGTAATTCATATTGACTTTTACTAAATCATGTTCTGGTAAATTCTTTTAAATATTGGAATATGGTTGCTCATCTCCCAGGTGGTCACTACCGGAGATTAAGGACTGCTTAGAAGAAGCCGGGTTCCAATCTGTCCATTTTTGGCTTCGTGAGATGCCAGACACGCAAGAAAACAGAAGTACAGAGGGCTTTGGAGTTGCACAAGATGCGAAGTATGAAGAGGTTAGAAGTTTTCAACAGAAAGATGCTTGGAATGCATATATTGTTGCTGTTGCCTAGTCAATCCGGAGCTCCTCCTTTGGTAGAACTTCTTAATGTTGCTGAGACAGTTGCTCCTGTGAGCAAGTGGTTGGTGAAACAAATACTTTCAAGGCTGTAAACTCTCACGTCTTTTTTTTTTTTTTTTTTGGTTAATTTCCCTTACAAATTTTAGGTTTCAAAACTATATTTGTATGATAACTGTCATGCATTCAGGATTTCTCAAATTTATCTTATAGTCTCTGAATTTGTATGCTTCCTTTTTTTCTTTCTAAAAACAGTATGAACCTTACGGTACATGGATATTAGTATAGTCAGAACAACATATAATCAAGAAAATTCCCAATATGCCAACTCAGTCAGTAGATGTTTTGTAGAATTACTTGATTGCTAAACGAAACCAGTTAACACCCGTAAGAATCCTGTATTGACCATGCGGAGTGGAGGTTACTATGAAGTTTCCATCTGGAATGATGTTTACCATATAAGATTTTAGCTTCAAGAAATGTATGCAGACAGTTAGGTTATACAGTTATAGCAACTAATTTCGACAATCTCTTTAGGCCTCATCAGTGTCAAATAATGTGGTTTTTGCCCCTCCTGTCTATCTGGGTTAGCCCGTGGTTCCTTGTTTGTTATACTCAGTATCTTTACAAAAGGTCCATTAAGCAATCTGCTGGTTTGATTAGATGCTCATAGCACCATCATTTTTAAACCACGACATTCTTTTGGGCTAGTTAAAGAAAAGGATATTTCAGAAACATCACCATGACTTTCTTTTTGTGTTGTCAGAAATAATATTCTTGTCTTAAACTTGGAAATTCCTCAGACTTAAATTCTAACAATTTTACCTTTCCTAGACTTTTGTCAAACAGTAATTAGTCAAAACCAAACTCTTCCTTAGAGGATAGATGGGCGATTCGGGTGAGATCCAATGTAAACCCATATTTATATTTTCGCATTCGTTAAAAGTGATTGCATCATTGGTGATCTTGTTAAGAAATATAGGTTATTTTGTTTTATTGTTTATTAAAGGTAGATCTGTCTTTTCATTATTTCCTTTGTTTAGTCTATATATATCTTTGTATTTAGGTTAAATCATACTTTTAGTATTCAATTGAATTTTGCAGTATCAATGAAACCCTAGCCTCCTCTTTTTTATTATTATTTCTTTGGATTGTTTAACAATGTTAGCAGTACATCGACTAGTTAATGAAAATTCACCAGCAAGTCTTAAAAATAGGTCTAGTTTTGCTCACATGGAATCATTCTGAACATTGCTCTTATAATTGCCTTGTTTTTCCAAAATTTGGAACAAAGTGCACCCATCAATTGCAAGTGATATGTAGAGAGGCTCCAAGATAATTCTTATCAGTAAATTTATTACTCTCAAGACTCTTTGTTCATATAGAAAGTTACGAGCCACTTGGGGGTCACAATCACCAAGACTTGTGTTTAATAGGCATCGGGATTTGCCAAAAGGTAAGCTTCAATAGCCTTGACCATTCTTTTAGCCTTTTCTTTGCCAGCCTTAATTTGTTCTTCATTGATCTCAAACTCACCAATGCTATAGTACCTGCTGATGCTCTTGCACATGGATCCACCGTCTGGAGAGGGTCTTATCTTGGTTTCCTAAGTCATTTTTCAAGGACAAAGGCTTTGTACGTCTTAGCCGAAGGGATTTTGGTGACCACCTCCATGATCAGTTTGGTATTTTTAAATGATTGAATGAAAAACAATGAAATTCGAGAGGCGGGGGAAGATTGATTGAGTGACTGTTGGTATTTTTCAAGTTGAAATTAAGGGTGTTTACAATGGGCTTAGGTGTTCACGCAGATTAAATAGTTTAACTAAATTCTTCATATTTTATTGGATATTGTTCCCAATATAAATAGGTAATCAAAATTTTGTATTTGGGACAATGAAAACACTTATATCTTAAAAGATTAAAATTTTTAATTGATTCCCAATTTTGTAATAACCTCCATTCTTTTCTTAATAGTTAAGGCTTCATTTGGTTCATTATTGGATGATTTTTAAAATAGTATTTAGAAAAAGAAAAAAGTAAAATTGGGTTATCTTTACAAGAAAGATAATTATTAATGTTTTGTGAGATGAATAAAGTAGAATAAGATTTTGAGAATATTGAAACAAATGTATTTTTTGGGTTTTTAGGATATAATAGTAGAATAGAATAGGGATATAATATTGAACTTAAATGCTTGAATAAAGAACAAATAAAGGAATCAAGCTTTAGTAAGAGACAGAACCACCTAAAATTAGCAGAGTAATGAAATAATTTAGTGTTGTACCCCATTGCAAATGCAAGGAGAGATATTCCACATTGTGGTCTTAACAAAGGGGCCCATTCCCTGATTTGAAGACAAAAGCAAATTTTTTCATGATCATTATACATTGTTATCAGTTTGGACATCTAGCCCTTCGCTTCATTTCTGCTCGTTTACTGCACTTTAGATTTTCATTCATTATCCGAAGTGTAAAATTGGTTCCACTGAACTTTGAAGCAAGACAACTGAACAAAAGCAGAGATATACAATACACCCACGTTTGCAACAATGGCCTCAGCAAGACTAATGGTCAGAAATGGCTCTTAGAACTGTGGAACCTATCTACAAAAACAAAATTGCATTGAATCTGAAGAATTTATTCAGAACCAGAGAAATATTCATAACCAGTGTGAAACTCCAACAGACTGTCACATTCATTCTTAATTGCCGACTTATACTCATCTATCGCGTGGTCAAGGCACAGTTTTAGAATAGTACGAAGGCGCATTGCAGGCTTCCAACCTGTACAAAAACACAAATGAGAAGAGTTTCAAAAATCTTGGCAACAAAACTGCATAGAGTGAAGAAAAAGTGGTTGCTTACCAAGCTCTCTGTTGATAATTGTAATGTCAGGGATCCGCTTATCGCTGTCATCATATCCTGGACCGTAGAAATTGTTTGAGCTTACATCAATGGTTGTAAACTTGGAGGCAGGCTGTTTAGTTACATCTGCATAAACCTTAATGGAAAATTTTTGTGTGTTAAATGAATATCAGAAGCGAAAAAGGAAACTAGGCGGCATCTTTAGGCTTAAGTATACCTCTATCATCAACTCTGCTAATTGCTTTATTGTAACATCATTTTCAGGATTACCCACATTAAAAATCTTGCCATTCGCTCGTGCTGGGTTTTCCTGCAAAAGATTGGTTTGTAATTGAAGGGCCATTTCTATAGCAGTTTTCAGATGAATGATGATTCTAAAATGAACTTACAATAATTAAAAGAACACCTTCAATGGCTTCCTTGATATAACAGAAGCTTCTCTGGGACTGCCCACCATCAACAAGCTTAAGTGGTTTTCCACGCAGGAGATTCTGCAATTCAGAACTATTAGGAAGAAAATAAAAACGCGCACAGCAGAAGTTAAAGAAGCGAAAGCAAAGTGTTGGGAATAAAAGAAGCTTAAGTTACACCGGTGAAGCAAGCTAAAACTCTTGGAACTGCTTCTCTTGGACCATCAATGCCTCGAATAAAGTCCATTCTTGGACCAATCCAATTGAAAGGTCTTACAATGGTAAACTCGAGGGAATGCAATGCAGATTGAGCTACAGGTGTAAGTTGAAACAAGGTTTAGATAGTATAACACAATGAGATTCAAAGAGCCAAATGAAAAAATTACAGTACCATATATTAGCCTTTCAATCATCTGCTTTGCACAGGCATAGGTCCATCTCTGTTTATCAATTGAGCCAAAAATACATGGGGAATCATATTCTTTAAGGAGGTAGAGTTCGGATACCTGCACAAACGGCAATATTAATGTTCATTCAAAAACTGACAATTACCATCATCCAACAACATTTCTTAGAGCGATTAATCACAAAGTTTGGTTAATCTTGATTAACCAAGTTTGATTGACCAAAGAATTACACAAGAAACCAATGAAATTCAACATTTCAAGAAAGTAAGATTATCTATCATAAGAAAACTGGTTCAGTGAAACAAACGAGAGGCCTTAAAATGTTAACCTATACTTACATTTTGAAGAGCATGATCCTTTGGTAAAAAGCTTCCAATAGTCTTTCCATAGACTTCACAAGAAGAGAAATGGATCAATCGCTTTTTGTACTTGATACAGAACTCAACCTAACCGAAAAAGATCAAACCCAGATCACAAAATACTCAAATTTACAGCAAAAATAACCAAATAGCAACCAAGTTTTACAAAAATGCAAAACTCACCACTGGAATCGCATCAACAGAGTTACTTTTAATCGTATCCAAAGGCCTAGTATTATAATTAGCAGGAGTGCGAATGGCTGCAAGATTAATAACCTACCCAAAAAAAAAACTCGATCAATTCCCGGAAATTAAACATCCAAGAGAAATAGTGAAGTAGACAAAGAAGTTAAAACAAGAAAAGTCATTTACAAGATCAGAGGCTGCAATGAGGGGTTCAAGGTGCTGGTGTAGCGTGTCACGCTTGACATTAATTTCATGAAACTGAACTCGACCAAACCAGCAAGAATAAGGACGCAAGAGATGTTTTATCTTGGTGGAGGAGACATCAATGATTATGGCAGTGTGTTGAGTTTTGTAGAGGAGCTTCTCGCAAAGGTGTGAGCCGATAAAGCCACCGCCACCAATCAAGCAGATTGTTAAGGGTTTGATTTTTTCACCGTCTAAGTTGAATCTTTCCATTGAATAAACAAAAATGGAGTCACCAGGTTTGGGGAGAGAGTGTCAAGAATGAATGTGTTTTGGAGAATCTTATAACTGCTTTATGGAGGGAAACGAAGCAGGGGATTAACCAACAAGGAGGGGTAGTTTAGTAAATACAATAAAAGTCGCACAAATTTCAGTTAGTTACATGCAACGAATACCAGAAAAGATTGATCTTCTTATTGAAAAGGTTACGTCAAAGAAAAAATTTATGACAGTAATGGCTTAGAGGCAGACTCACCAGATCTTTCTGCATAAACCTTAGGGAAAATATTTGTGTTAAATAAAACAAAAGCAAAAGAGGAGAAAAGGAAACCAGGATTCTTCAGGCCTATGGGTTTATCAATATTTTAAGCCCTCTTCTCTCATTTGCTTCACTGGGTCTGCTTCTATCATAGAGAATTCTGCCTTTTTAAAATTGACAGTTTTGTTGAGTAATTTTTTTATCAAGATAACCAGTCAGTTCCATAGCAAATGCAATGATGGATATTCTACATTGTGGCCTTAACAGAAGGGCCTATTCCCTGATTTTATTGCATGATCATTATACATTGTTATCAGTTTGGACCTCATTTTTTTCTCCTTTACTACAAGTCAGGTTATAAGAGAGGAAATGGATAATAATTTATAGAGGTGGTTAATATCTTGTATGGAAGGGAAAACAAAGGAGCAGCACAGAAGGAAATCGTTTCAGATGTCAACTTCAAAGCTTCTTTCAGACCTGATAGTTCCTCATCCACGTTCTGGACATAAGCAAAAGTGTTAAAATAGTACGAAGGGGCATTTTAGGCGTCCAACCTATAACAAAATACAAAATGGGAAGAATGTCAAAACTCTTAGCAAATTTTTGTGTTAAATGAAGAACAGAAGCCAAAAAGGAAACTAGGTGGCGTCTTTAGGATTACCCACATTAAAAATCTTGCCATTTGCTCGCGCTGGGTTTTCCTGCAAAAGATTAGTTTGTAAAGGGCCAGTTCTATAGCAGCTTTCAGATCAATAATGATTGGTACTAAATTGAAATTACAATCATTAAAGAACAGCTTCAACGGCATCATTGATATAGCAGAAGCTCCTCTGAGACTTCCCACCATCAAAAAGCTTGAGTGCACCATTAGGAAGAAAAAAAAAATGTACTGTAAAAATTAAAGAAAAAACAGTGTTGGAAGTGAAAGAAGCTTGAGTTACACTGGTAAAGCAAGCTAAAACTGATGGAACTCCTTCTCCTCTTTCAGTGCCTGGAATGAAGTCCATCCTTCGACCAATCCAATTGAAAGGTCCTACAATCGTAAACTCGAGGGAACGCTATGCAGATTCAGCTACAGGTGTAAGTTGAAACAAGGTTTAGATAGTATAACACACAGAGATTCAAAAAGCCAAATAAAAAAATTAATGTACCATATATTAGCCTTTCAATCATCTGCTTTGCACAGGCATAGGTCCATCTTTGTTTATCAATTAAGCCAAGAATGCATGGGGAATCATATTCTTTAAGGAGGTAGAATTCGGGATCCTGCACAAAACACATTTCTTAGAGCAGTTAATTAATGTCATATTACAAAGTTTCCGGGGAAGAAGAAAATAAGCTAATCAACTTCACTCCCATTAGTCACAACCGAAACTGAGGAGGGATAAAGGAACTTAACGCAGACAAAGAGTATTGCAATGAGCCACTCTTTAACCTTCATCCTTATTTGTTAAACCAGATATAAGCCAATTTTGAAGTCTCTTCACGAAACTAAAGATACAATGAAAACATTGAGAATTGAAAAACATATAAAATTAGAAGATTGAGATATAACATGAAATTACTTATGACTTATTTGTTTAGAAATTGTTAATGATAAAATTTTAATTTGTCTCCTCAGTACCACTAGCCCCTATATGTTTAACCAAGTTTGATTGATCAAAGAAACATATGAAAATCAGCATTTCAAGACAGAAACAGAAACATTAAATGTTAACCTATACTAACCTGTAGAAGAGAATGATCCTTTGGCAAAACCCACCACTGGAATCGCATCAACAGTTACTCTGAATCGTATCCAAAGGCCTAGTATTATAATGAGCAGGAGTACGAATGTGTTTTAGAGAGTAGAGTTTTTCTTTGTCTTTTAACTACATTATGGAGGGAAATTGACATTAATGGTTGAGTACTTCGCTTCTTCCAGAGTCAATTTTTGTCAGTATTAAGAGAGAATTTTTAGACATATTAAAGGATCCAACATTTCCAAAGGCGGATGAAGCCTGGGTTGGGTTCACCCCATTAAGGATTGGGTTATATTTGGGTAAATCTTTTGGGCTTGTAATGGGTATGGCTGGGTTTGGGTTGCCCACTAATTTAATTTTTTATACAAGGGTTAATGAATTAATACTTCTAGCTATGATAAAATAACATAAGTCTCTCTGAGGTTTCAGAAATAGTATAAATCCCCTAACTGTTAACTTTTAAGTGTTAAAATAAATGGTAGAAGGGTAATTTAGTAATACTTACAAACTCTTAACAGTGTAAATTTTAACGACTCACTAACAGTTCATTAATGGCAAGGAATTTTTTGTTATTTTAGAAATGTCAAAGAGATTTTTGTTGTTTTATCATACCACAAGGGTCCCATAACCCTTTTTAAACAATTATAATTAGTATAATTATTTTATTTAATATAAAATTTCAAAATAAAATGATTATCACTAAATTACTTTAATTGTCGTCGATGTTCACCATCTCAATAGTTTTTCCAGCGAAACCGTTTATATGAAAATAAGAATAATACTATACATACATCATTTTTATACAACATTTCTCATACAACAATACTTGACAAGATATAATTGGGTGAAAGTTTAATTTTAACTTTAAATTAGCCAATCATATCTTGTCACATAATATTATATGGGAAATGTTGTATGAAAATGATGTATGTGTAGTATTACTCATGGAAATAATCCTTAAATTCTTTTTTACCCAACGGCATGGTCATCTCAGTCCAAAAATGTATGAGTGCTTTTGATTTATTATTTTGGATAGGATTTTGGAAATAATATTGGGTAGTTGAATAGAAGAGTATTACGAGGTAAAATTTAAAAATTTATAAAAAAACCCCTAGGTTTACTAATTTAATTAAACACCCCAACATATAAAATGACAAAAACACCTCCATCACCTGCAGTGCCAGATTCCGGCCACCACCGTCAGAATCTGGCCGAAAAATTACATTACGACACAGACTGGTCAGATCTGTGTCGTAACACGGATTGGCCAGAAAAGGCCAGATCTACGGCCAAATGTGGCCGTCAACGGTCAGAAAAGGGCAAAGATATGGCCGTCATTTTCTATCAACAATGGCCAAGATTTGGCTGTCGTTGATGACTAGATCTGGCCTTTTCCGGCCAGATCCACTGTGGATCTGGCTGGAAAAGGCCAGATCAATAACCTACACGACAAACACTGTGGATCTGGCCGGAAAAGGCCAGATCGATAACCTACCGGCCAGTGTCCATCGTGGTGTAGACCGTTGTACAGATTTCGGCTACCACCGACGGTGGTTGCCAGAATCTGGCAAGTGTGGGTTAATGGAGGTGTTTTTGTTAATTTTTAAACTTTTTTTTGGAGGGGTATTTAATGAACTTAAGGGGTCTAAAAGTAATTAAAAATATATAGTATTATTTCTGGAATAATGTGCCAAACAATATTTGAAGAATAGGATTGAGAATATGGGTAGAAATATTGAACCAAACGCACCCTATGATTTTTGATTGCAAATGGCAGTCAAATGTTTAGATGTCAAAACTTTGACCACTTCAGTATTTTAGTGGTTATGTTCCTTTCTTTCTTCAATAAGAACAAACATTAGATATGCTCTAACATAGTGGCTCGAATTCACAAACAATGACTCCTGACGAAACAACTCGTTGAGAAATTTTATTAATAATCCATTGATAATTGTTTGTAGGATAACAAACATATTTATACTAAAGTAATCCTAAATACTACTATAATAAGAATATAAAAACCTTCATTCTACTAGTACTAGCAGTCTTACCATAAGAAAGCAACAACTAACTAAAACAAATCTTCCTAATTTAACTAAAATCCTAAAATAATTAAACTTCCAAATGTAAAATCCTAACTAAACTTAGAAAACCAACTAAAATACTAATTAAAATTAGAAAATCAACTCCAAAAAACAAAATTAATCTTAAATCTTAAATCTGAAATTGGATTTTTTAAAATAACGATCCGTATCCGATCTGAATTTTCGGATATTTGATATTTTCGAATCAGAGCGGATCGAATCAGGATTGGATATCGGATATCGGATTTTTTTGCACAACCCTAATGGTAATTACCAAGTAGTTATCAACTTTTTTTTCTTTTTTTCTATAATGGATGTACGAGTCCTGTGATAGGTGTCCCACCCATATTCAAAAATATAAAAAACCGATCCCATTTTGTTTTTCAGTACCTTGTTCCTCGTTATACGTTTGTATTTTCACAACTTATATATTAATATATTATACTTGACATTGTAATTGAAAATTTTACTCATGAAAATAAGATAAGAGTTAAGATAATTAACTAGTATAATTATGTTTTTTTTTTTTAAATGGACAAATTTCACTCAATACCCCTGCAACGCTTTTGGTTTTTATTGGCACTTGCTATCCTCATAATTTCAAAAACTCATCAAGACCACCAATAACAAGAGAATTTGTTTCATTTTCGGCAAATAAATAGAATAGAACTATCATTTTCTTTAAAAAAAAGTTTATGCTTTTTAATTACTTTCTCCCAATGATACATGTTTTCACTAATTATTTTAACAACAAAATTCAAGTAAATTATTTACCTGGCTCAACCTGAAGACGTAAACATCTTCCATCTAATTTGTCAAATTCATCACAACGAGTATATTATTGAGATGTTGATTTGTGACATTTTGTAAATTAGAATTATTGTTTAGTGTTTGGTGACATAATAATAA